AGAATGGCGCTGTGTATAAGAATCGGCGCCTTCATCACCGCACAGCATATGTAAGCCCCGCCACCACGAGTATTAGATCCCTGAATGATTCTGTTTCGGAACATGACCATGTCTATCAGTATTTCCTGCTTTCACTTCAATGTTGTGAGAATCACACATTGAATTTTGAATGGCATAAAAATTAGGCCTAGCGACTACGATGAAACGGCGGCTGTGTAGATGTCCTCATCCTCTGCGATGACAAAGCATTGACTTGGATCTTTCGGGTGGTCGAATTCTAGTTTGTCAAATTCAAGGTTGAAAGATAGCTTTGAGGAGGCAAATGCGATAAGTAGAGCCATTAAAAAAGACGATTCGGAGAGCGAGGACTGTGGAGATTGCGCGTTGCAGATCTTTGTCAAGACATCGCTTCTCTTTACCTGGTGATCACCTGCAGTAGTGACACCTGTAACAGCAACGGCGTGGGAGTCTCTTGATGCGGATATAGTTAGGATCATCGTCTGGATGCTTGACGCCTGTCCTTCTTGAGTTGCTTTTCCCGATGGAAGTTGCCGTCGGATCCAGTCGCTGGGTTACAAACCCCAGAAGCAGACACTCATTAATCGGCATGCTGCATCACTGGCCATTGAACAGTCACTTCTGACGCTTGACATCTACGCCTGATAAATTCTGTCCCCAAATGAGTAAGACTGCGAGCTATCAGAGCTTTTCTTGCGGTGATTTGCACCATTTGAAAACTCGAGCGACAGCCACTTCTTCTCCCCCGACTCTTATAGGTATGTATGTCGCATTGATATAGCAGACTGCATATTTGCGAAGCCCATGCTAGACTTTTTCCAATTCTAAGAATCCTGAGAGACATAATCATTTTCAAGTTAGATATCTTCATACGTACTCTTCTCGATAAGTCCGTGTTGTGCTTCGAGAAGATGAAGTAAGTATGTTTCTGAAAGTTCTCTTGTTGAGATATCAGTGTTTTCAGATGGCAAGAAGTGATTGTGTGTTTTCTAGAAGCGGAATGACGGGATTGTGTGTTTTTTGGCTTGAGGCAGCCGAAGCCCCAAGATCCCGGACTCGAAGCTCTCGGCCAGGACGTAGTCGTATATTTGCAATCGGTTCTCGACTGGCAGCGTGGCCAGATTGCCGTGGCCGGACCTGATGATACCGTCTGACGCCGCCACCTTTTCGATTGCGCCTTGCGCGAGGGTCGAGCTTGGGGATTGAGATGGGTCATCGGAACCGACCAGGCCCTCCGCTTTGATGGCACCCGTCGACATGATGGATTCTGTCGACACCAGGACGGGTTCCGTAGACACCAAGAGTTGTTGGATACGTGTCTGTGTCGAGGAAATTCGCTATTCCTAATGCCACAAGTTCTTCGTTCTGACTGATGAAACGGCGACTGACCGCAGCATGTTGGCCATTATTCTTTTTTGCGTAAATTCAAATGTTTGCGAACCAAAAAATCCGATAGTCACACCAGTTAAGACCGTTCAAGCCAAACGGGACTACTTGTAAAATTGACTGCGATTGTGGCCGCCAACGACACTTTAAGCAAGGCAGACCGTTAGCGAATTGTTGTTAACCTCGTCATTCTCACTCGACATTGCTCCTCCTAACTTGCAGCGATCAAAGGGTTCAAAGGGCCCCTGGCAACTGAGCGATCAAAGAGTCTGTGTCTGCTTGAAGTGGCCGTGTGTGACCGTCCACTTCCGCAGAATTTGTCCGCAAGTGTTGACGACAAGCTAATGTCTGCGACGACATTGCTGGTTAGATCTTGCCAAGTGGCGCGGTACATCCTTGCGAGCAAGTACCTTCCTGCATCGGACGGTTTTGTTACCAGCAATGGTCTTGATATTGAGCCAACTTCGACGAGAACCATTTCTAGAGCCATCATCAGTCAATCGTGCAGAACACGATCGAAGCTGATCATGTGTCTTGCATCATTACGAAAACCGAAGCGCAGAAACAAAGCGCTTCTTGCTGCTGTTGGTGGTGCTTTTGCGGGAAGTTATCCTCCTGAACATAAAAAGCGTCCTTGTTGACCGTCATTGAAATTGCCGCCCAGATGGATCCCACGAGGAGACTTGACTGTCGTGCTTGAACAAGACCTGCCAGCATTTTGGTGACATATGCGAAACCAGGCACGTTAATTGAGCGCCAAAGAAGATGTCGCACTGTGAGTAGCCATGACTCTATCTTCTTTGAGTTTCTCTTGGTTGGGGCGTGTCCTTGGTACGCGGTTGACTCCGCTTGCGACAGATCTTCCGAGGACAGGAATCGGCTGACAAGGGTTTCGTCGGGTCTGTGTGATATGGAGATCACGGACTGGTATTACCATGTTGGGCAAAGTACAAAGCGGTCACTTGCGGGAACATGTCTGGTCTCGTCAACTGTGTAGCTCAAGGTTCAGAAATTAGAGTCTCAGAGATGAAGTCATACTTTGCCTGGTAGTCGAGTATCGGCGAAGATATCGCAGCCACGCAACTGAGCTGAATTGCGCCGCGAAATTGATCAGAGATAAATGAAAGATTATGCTTTGACTGGATCATCCAGGCCAAAGTAGAGGGTAGATCCACTCCACGTATTTTGTTAAGAAAGCAAAATCGTGAACATCTGAGAACACATTCAATTCTGCGGGCTTTACTCGGAGTGTCGTCAGCGTTGCTCGGATCATTGAACTACTCATGGTCTTCGAGTTCAGTGACTCGTTTCCGCATATGGATATCGAGGTTTTCTCTTCGTTCTTCGTTCTTGCAATGCGACATCGATCTGAATGACGCTTGTGGGTACCTCTTGGTGGCACCTAGTCAGAAAGGAGCAAAAAAGTATGAAAAGACTAATAGGTGGGTCTCATGTAAAGCAGGTGCAGGCACGAACCCAATGCACCGTTGGGTTTTCAGAATAAGGCTGAGGCCGATGATCAAAACCTGTAACGAAATCTCATAATTCAGATGAGATTGCTGGAAACTAGAAGGAAATGGACAAGACGGTCTCGGTCTGAAGTAGAGAATGTAATGCATATATATTTATACTACGAGAGTCCGAAGATGAGGGACTGGATGGAGAAAGAAAGAGTCTTCGAAGAGGAGCGACGTTCTTATACTTGACGGGCGGGTAATTCAACTTAGTTTGAGGTGAAGAAAACGATTCAATTTCAGCAATGAAGAAAAGTTGTGGCCAAGCAAAAGCAGGTGAAGGATCAGAACGTAGGAAATTTCTTGAATTTGACCCCTGCACCTTTTTTCACACGGGAGATAGATCGCGGTAGGCAAATGGAATGGAGAGTCACCCAACTTGGATGAGAAGATACGGATAGCCTGCCCATGATGTTCTGCACGCCTTTTGCCGACGTATGTATACCGTATGACCTGTCGTAAAACGTGCATCCTGCTCTTTCTCGTATAATTGCATCAGACACAAAATGCCGGAATCCAACGCTTCAAAGTATGATCTGATTAATTCCATATGTGCACGTCGGGGGGCTGGAGAGCAAGAGGCGAATTAGTGTGAAGGCGATCGGCGTGACTCAGAAAATTGAAAAAGAGTATTTTCTCAGCGTGAAGTACACATCATTCATTACCAAGGGACGTGATAGAAAATTCCTAGACTTTGAGTAGCCCATCAGTGCCAGCTTTGAAAGGTGAATTAGCCCAAGGCTGAATCTGCAGGCGAATTTGTAGTGAAGGCGAATTGGCGATAAAGACCACAAAAAGCCAAGCCTAAGTTGTAATATATGAAAAAGACAGAATGTAGCATACAAATGCAAAATAACAAGTGTTTAGGAAATGGAATCCCCTGCGAACAGTACCGTGCCCCTTTGTTAGTCGATCAAACAGGATCCATTGAACGATCAATTTAGAGAGAGCTCGCATCAGATGTTCATGAGTGTTCTCACGAGTCCTGTTTGCCGTTGTCATAAGCAGTCAAAGCGGGAGTGATATGGTCGGGGATTGCACACCATACCGATCTTTCATGGCTGCAATCGGTAGCGAGTAAATCATATGCTGCTGTCCAGCGTCTTTTAGACCATCTAGAAGTGTGTGATCACAACTTCGACGTCTTTGAAAGTTCACTCCTTCCGTAGCGGAAACCATGCACGGGGCTGTACGATTTGTGGAATCTTTTGAGCCTAGACTGTGGGATGTACAGTGGAGAGACAACGAATTCCTCACATCTTAATGGATTCGGGGTTCTAGCTGGACTCACACAAACAGTAGGTGTAGTGTAGGAAGAAAGGAGGAGCACAGTGAATTCCCCCTCAAATGAAAGCCAAGACAAGGACCGTAACGCTAAGCCTTTTTGGAGCTAGCGTGGGGGCTCCCGCCAAGCCCTTGTAGCCGACGAGAGCGTCCCCGAATTCTCGCAGTCTCTACCACCAATACTGCCATACGGGCCTGCAGCTTTCTTTGGTGAGCAGCTTTCTTTGATGTGACAACTATTGGGGTCAACCATTTCAACGCTGATTCAGGGCCCAACATTCGGCAAGCGCTTCCTCTGTGAATCTGTGTAAGAGCCACGGGCCTGGTCAAGGCAACACCGTTGAAGTACGATGAGGCGTCACAATATTCTTCCATTCTAACACGACAAGTCTCTGTTGCAATGTCTTTAAGAAGTACAGAGAGTTTATGTCGTGATAGGCAACGGGAAGGGAGTAGGCGTCCGGAACGCTTTTATTCTCCATCCGAAGTGCAACACAGGCAGTGCAAAAGTTTGCTCGTAGCAGACTCAGACACGGCACATATTCTGTATATCTCTCGATGCGACCGATCTAGCATTGAAACTATATCAGCCACACTGTCGAGTATCGCGTGTTGCTTGCAGATGGCGCGTATGTGCGCTTACAGGAGAAACAACACTGTGGCTGAGCAAGCCGATCTGAGGTAATAGACAAAACTTCAACTCTTACAAAATTCAACCCGAATGCACAAGGACCAATATCTCATAGAGCTGCATCAGCCGCATTCGCTTCCTGCCCTTACATAATCTTGACTCGCACGATGCGAGCTTTGACCATTTTGTGGATTTTTAACCTCCTGCAGCTGCTTACCGCAGCCTTCTTACCTCTCAACAACACTGTAGAAAGCCTAGGAGAGAAAACTACCGCTCCAAAGGCATCTGCAGTACCCCAAGTCGGCAACACAACAATATTCGATCCCGACACCCACATTTACTGCTACAACTCCTTCCCACACCTACATTTAACTGAGTCATCTTGCTATGAGCTTTTTGATGCTCTCGAGACCATACCAAATCTCAACGAGCAACAGCTTGTCAAAACCGAGAACTTTCAGCCACTACGCTATTGGGACAAAGACAGATGTAGCCTTTATCTTTACACCCAAACAGACCAGGGTGTCGACAAATTCTCGCTTGCGGATTGGTTGAGGAAATTGCGAACAATCCTGAGGTATCTCTCATATCTTTTGGTCTCAGTGTCAGTATGACAGGTTGAAGACTGATGAAGATCTTTCTAGATACTGTGCCGAAGAAGGGAATCCTGGGCTTGGCGGTTATGCTTCTGTCGGAGAGCGCGGTCTCTTCAGGGCATTCGCTGAGAGGAATTTCTTTCAGGGTGAAGAGGCATCTGGGAATATCAACATTCTTTAGGAAAGCTTCTGGATTATGGCCGCACTGTATTGGGCGTCAGACCTGCCACAATTTTGTCACTACAAAGTGTGCGGTTGGTGTTGAATAGATGCACGTGAGTAGAGTCAGGGAATCCCTTGTCTAATTCTCTGACATGGCGCCAAAGACTTCAAAGTTCTTTGACAATCCCCAGGATGTACTGAAGTCCAATAGTTTGCGGCAAAATTACAGACTCAGCATGCTTCAACAGTTGGGTTGCTTTAACGGCAGCGCACCAACACGCGACATGAGACATCGCACCTGGCTGTGCTGCACCAGACCTTGGAAACAATAATTGCAATACTCTTGTATTTGAATCTCACATGCACCTGAAGAGCGTGGACTTGCATCCTACGCAGGAATACTTTCTTCCCTTAGCGAATTACCAGTGCAATTTGCGCAGCGCTTCAGGGAGTCTTCTCCGAAGAGGCCTCTCTACTCAGTTCCCCCCGGGACGAAGTGCACGAGGCTCTGATCAAAAGACCTCTGATCTATCTCCAGGAAGTATGCAATTTCCTTGGCTGACGAGCAGTCTATTGGCCCTCCTCACCGGCGTCAACTCTCTGGACATCAACTTCACTACATCAGATGACTTGCCGAGCCTAAATGCATTATCTCTATCAAAGTTTTCGCCGTCTACCTCAGCATCGTCACCCTCCACACAATCGGACGAAGTCTCTAATCTTTCGTACCCTCCATGGCCCCCAGATCGCAAAGCGTTTCCAATCACGTCCTTCCCATATTACTATAATGTTCTGTTGAACAAGGCACCATGTATCCCACAACCCGGCTATCCAGGAATAGTAATGTCAAACCTGCAAGACTTCATCCTGGAGTTCGTCGAGAGCATCGAGAAAAAGTATCCACCAAATGCGATAACTACAAACAATACGACGAATCCTGCCGATACCCCACAAACCTCCAAAAGAACAGTATCCAATGCGACAACAGGTACCGGCGAAGAAAATGACGGCTCAGGCACCATCCACCCTAGAAGTGTGGCCGCCGACCTCGTTGATCCAGAGTCCGGCGCTAAATTCACGATTTATCTCTGGCGCAATTTTTTCCAGCCGGAAATAGAAACGGCGCTGGCAGTTGCAAGTCTCCGGGATTTTCGAAATCAGGTTGGTAAGTATGGGCCAGCTGATATCCAATACATCATCACCAAGTACAAAGATGGAGGACGGGTTTTCCCTCCTAATTGCTGGGCAGTAGTGGAATTGAATATTATCTTGTTGTAAAGGGGAGCTATCGGCGGTAGAAATGTTGCGGGCGAAACAGCTTTGAAATTGGAAAAGAGCTGGTAGCCAAGTATGATATGATTCGGCTAGTTACGCTTTTAAAGCTTTCGCCTTTGAATTACTATTCGAACAGCAGCATCAAGATATCGAATCAAGCCAAGGCGTTGCCATTTCTCTCGTCTAAGAAAATTTTACATCATTGGAGAACCAAGTTAATACTGGCGCGTAGCGTATCCACAAAACGTATGAACTGGCGGAAGAGTTCCTCAAATCACAACCCCACGCCAATCGATACTCAAGCTGGACCCATCCCCTTCTCTCACATCTAGCACCCTCCCAATGTACCCTCTTCCACCTGTCTCACTACCTCAACTCTCATCACTCCATCGCCGAGAAAGTACAAAAAATATTTGACCCTCCCCCCCAAATATTTACCACACTTCTCTCACTTCACCTCCGCCTCAATTCTCCCCAGCCCTAGATCTCTTGAACAAACAGGAGAACGTCGACGAGTCATAACAAGACTTACTTACACCTGATTCTTCATCACGTAGCTCGTTGAGTAATCCACTATCCTAGGAAGTGGAATCTTATCTTGTCGTCTGGTGGGGGCTGGTGGGGGTGGTATGAATTGCTGTACTTGATGCAGGAACTGGTGAGCTTGGTTGTTTTGTTTGTGTTTGTAAATCCAACCCCAACCCAATCCTTATCATGTATGTCACGTCGAATTACACACAACACCACCCTTCCTTTCCCTCCCTTCAACTTTTCCTCCAATACCAACACCACAAAATCCAAACCACGCATCCATCGCCATCTCCTTCTCCGACCCCCCGCAGGCTGTTGATCTTGTCATGTCTGTTATTCCTGCATCAATGGAATGTTGGAGTGGTGTAATGTACCCAGGCGTCGTTGGCGTTGTGTGAAGGGATTATCTGAACCACCATTGACCATCGCGATCGCTGTTATTACTTTAGTCGGCTTTTGCTGTTCTTATTCCTGGTGCTGGTGATGTTGTTGCTGGGGTTCCTGTCGCTGCTTTTGTCGCTACTTTTGTCGCTGCTGTTGTGGTTGCTTTTGCTGCGGTTGTTATTGCTGTGACTGTGTTTGTTGCTTTTGCTTCCATTTTTGTTTTTGCTTTTGCTGGTTGCTACTGCTGTGGTTGCTGTGGTTGTGGTTGCTGCTGTTGTGGTCGCTATTGCTGTGGCTGCTGCTGTTGATGTCGTTGCTATTGCTGTGACTGTGGCTGCTACTTTTGCTTCCACTTTGGTTTGTGCTTTTGCTTTCACTTTTGATCTTGCTGCTGTTGCTGTCACGACAGTTGCTGCTGTCGCTGTTGGTGTCGCTGCTCCTACCTAGCAAGGGAGCTCTCATGAGATTCAAGCCAACGTTCAGCATCAATACTATGCCACATAGCAGCTGAGGACTAGTCACAGGGTCGTTATACCATACCATAACCCAGAGGATGTAGTGAAGAACCTGATATTGGCCTGTGAGGGGTGAGATAGATTCGTAATGTAAGGCTGTGTGAGATGTTGTACTGCAAGCTTAGCATTTCGAGACCGTGACTAGAGTACTTTTGAATACTCCTGACCTTTTTGTGGCTCTTCAGCATCTGAGCGACTATCTTCCGAGCTGCTATCCGACTCAGAAGACGATGATTGATCTTATATATTCTTTGCTCTGGTAGGGGTGATTTGCAACCCTCCACGAAAGTATCAGTCATGTCATCCACTCTCAAGTTGCCTCACGAACGCAGTAGAAGCAATTCGTCTATAACCTTGCCAGTCGTGTCTGCTGATCACAGTCAAGTAAAAGCCTCCCGCAGCCAGCCGAAGTCCCAGCGGAATGGCCAGAACTCAGCGGGACGGGCAGCATCACAACCAACGAGAAAGTCGGAGGAGTTGGCCTCCATTTGGTTCTTTTCACCCTTTGATTGTGCCCTTGCTCTGAGAACAACGGGAACAACGAGATGTTCTGAAGGAATTTAGAGATCTTGATCTCTCAAATGAACATGAACTATTTATACTCGAAGATTGTCAAATTGAAGTCAACCGTTGACATCTACCATCATATTCCAAGTCCTCGAAGTCTTCTTTGCGACAAAAGCAGCTTTTCTGCAGCCCGCCGACCATCTAGGAGAAATGGAGAAGACATTTGACTCCGCGTTGTGGAGAATAAGGGGATTGGAAGTCCGGTTCTCGTGAGTCTCGACGACGTGCTGGAGAAGATTTATACGTAGGTGGGTCCGGTGTCATTGTTCTGTTCCTCCTGGAAGCTGGCGATCTGGTCCGCCTTCTCAGTGGAATTCAATTTGTTGCAGTACAGCGCAGAGCGAATCCCGTATGTTGGTCGTGAATGAGAGGGGAGGGGAAGGGGATCCCAGCCTTACCGAAATAATCGCTGATCCTAGACACCTGGGATGGACATGGCGCAACAATTTCATCGTAGTTGTCGTAGTCTTCTTCCTCTTCTTGCTCTTCTTCATTTCCCGAACCAGCCTTGGAAGCCTTTTTCGGGGCTATCAGAAGGTCTTCTCTACGGCCTCGACGACTTCTCCCAAACAAATCGGCTTGGCAAACCTTTTTGCTAAAGAGTTTTGTTGAAGCTTGTGACTACTCTCCAGCCTGTTATGCACTGCCTCTGTTTTTTGTTTATGTATTCCTACGAGACTGTGAAGCTGTCTTTTGGTCCAGAGATGCTGATTCGCTGGTATGATACGATGTCATAGTTTCACTCTCGAAGTCGTTAAGAAATAAGCTGAGGTGGGAGTAGCGGAGAGGGAAGACGAGAATTGGCCAAGCCATCACATACTAATCGTCATCGCTCCGGTCTAGCTCGTCATCCCCTAGAGCTACAAATCCATCAACCGCCACAATTGGCTGGCCAGTCGAAGCGACTGCTTTGGAAACAGCTTTCAGCCCCTCTAGTGACTTGTGTGATTGATCCCATCGAATCATGTAGCCTCTTTCTGCGCTTATATGGAGATCTTGCTATCTAGTAGGTGGAAGACAAGCATCGGAGGCTGCTAAAAATGATAATGTATGCCACGTCGTTTGATCATTGCATCATTCTGGCCTTAGAAGGTGCCCTTGCTCAGTCATCTCCATCTCGCGTAAAGTTCATCGCTAAGCTAAAGCAATCTGGCAGCTGCCAGAGCGTCAATTGTGGAACTATGTGAGGGTATTTTGTATTGAATTGTTGTTATCGACCGTTGAATAGGGGGTGTGGTGAACTTCAGAGCTCGACAGGGTGTGCCATTTCGGAGGATCTCGCTGCTGGAAGCTACGACGACTTCTGACGTGGTGGTCTTTGTTGGTGCAAGGGTATCTCGGAGGCTATTTTATTACCATTCAGGTCTCGTCTTGAGAGCATGTTATCTATGCCTACCTAGAAGGTGTCAATTCTAGGTAGCCAGTGCTGTCTTGAGTCTTGCTTCTTCCGCGTTGGAATCATTTACCGATGAACGATCAATGCGGTGTCTCGACTGGGACTGACTCCAATAATGCGCACGTTGAAGAGAATATAGCTAGACTGATAGCGTCCGATTGTAATATTTCGTTGCAAGCGGTATCTTCCGCTCCCTTCGTCACCCATGTCCCAGTGTTGAAATCGCATTACGTACGAGCAGGCCCGAGAATAGGGCCAAGATGCCACCATCACGACCCTCACGTAAGCTCACCAGCAACCAGTACGCGGCGAACAACTGGGGCTCCGTCAACACAATCTTTAAGCCGGAAAGCTTGATATTTCGCTCGTTCCCTGTGTCCTTGTGCGGGATCGAGTCTAAACATCGTGTACATGTCAGTATAGTTTTGCTTGTCAAACGTCTGTCCGCAAGCAGTGGAAGTCACTTGATTCGCCCATCTAAGGGGTTTTCGGGTGCAATAGCATATATGCTGCTAAAATGTGAAACGTAAAGCTGACAATGTCATATTTTACCAGAGGAAAGCCGAGATCGTGGCATATCTTGGATCTTGACCCTGCAAAACACTCCCGGTAATCTGGACATTCGACTGGGCAGACGTAACCAAAATACCATTGAAGCTGTCTTGGGCTCACCCCACAGTCTGGGCTGTCTAGAATCCGAGACTTGTTCTCACTCATGTCCGACTTTGTTTTGACCTGCCCAGAAATCTGTACTTGATGTTCTCAGGCCAGTGGCTCTTCCAGTAGAAAAAGAAACAGTGATCAAAACAGCCTCTGACTTTGCGGCGTGGCTTATGAGCTGAGTCATCTACTGCGAAAAGTGTACTCCCGCAGTCCTCATTAATGGTGCAATCGCCTGACCCTTCGCTGCTTTCAACAAACTGAGTTCCTTCTCGGCATCGAAATTCTTCTCTTTTTTTGCTTATATGATATTTAGTGAGAATAAAGTCCACATCTTCAATCCTATGACTGCTACTCTGAGCCACACACTTGCCTTAGTTCCTTCCCCCTTCGACGAACTCGTATATCTTGCGAAGAGAAGGATGTTTAAAAGCACTTTAATTATTAGCCTGCTTATTGTTGGCATGCTTACTTGTGGTGCGTTTGCTGCCGGTATACTTGCTGCTGGTGTGGTTGCTTTGACTAGATTCTTTGGCCTTTTTGGTGGCTTGTGCACGAATTTCCAGGTCCTCCCGGAAAGTGTTCATTTCAAGACAACCTTAGTCCGGTCGATTGCGGTCGCATTTGATCTTCTTCACCGTACATGTGGTACACGACAAGGTGTTCCATCCTCCTCTCCTCTATAGTGCAGTGCCTCCTCGGTTACTGCCTGCGAATACAGGATGTGAGAATATTGCAATCGCCCACAGACTTTAGGTGGTAGTGTCCCAAAGCAAAAACTTGTAGAGAACGTGTAGATACAGATTTGATTCGTTCAGCTGGGACGTCATTGATTTCCAAGGTTTACAATTGAGCCGAGAAGGTAAACCGTTTTGTGTGAGCTGTGAATTGTGTAAGTGCTTCGAGATCAGGATCATAGTGATCTACAAAGTTGAAATTGACAAAAATTC